GTCTGCTGGGTGGTCGCGGTGCCAAGCTGCGTGGGGGCTTGGGCAGGGGCTGGGGCTCGGGCTCGGGCGTGATCCTCGGGGCTGCTCCTCGGGGATGGCTGAGAGGAGGCAGCAGCAGACGCTGTGGGAAACTTTTGGAGTACACCCGCAGGGTTTGGAGCAGGAGGGCTTTGGGGAACGTGCCCCGACCTAGAGGACACAGTCACGGCCTAGAGAGGACAATGAGGAGGTGGCCCTGGCTGCGGCGAAGGAAGGTGTGACCCAGCTGCTTCGCAGGCACACGTCCTTTCTAACCCGCTTTTGGTGTCCACCAAAGCCCTGGCTGCGCTCATTAATGGGTTTGTACTTAGACTTTAAAGCCCTCAGGAATTCTGAGAGCTGCGATGCTCCTAGGTAGCCCTCGCTGGCTGTGGAGGGAGGTGCAGGATGCTGCAGGTGGCCTTCCCTGTGTCCCCACCCTGTGCTGCTGCAGCAACCAGGACCGTGGTGAGCAGCTGGCAAGGGCTGGGGTGGTCAGGAATAGGTGCCACTGAGTTTCCATCTGCAGGACTCCTGGGCCTGAGGACAGCCGTGGTATTTGCTTCTGAAATTCAGATGACAAGTATCCATGCTTTATTTCCTGAAGGAATTCGCTGTATATACCTAACTATTAAAATTCATGACTTGGAAGTTTCTTGCTCCAAGATCTGACTCGGATGTCACTGTCTTGAAATCACTGTGGAAAGATCCACAAGCAGTAACTGTTGCAGCAAGGAATTGGTATTGATGTGTAAAACTATGAAAGGAAGTTTGCACCTGAAGTCTCAAAAAGCTCTGTGGTTAAGTCCTAAAAACAAAACATAATGGAGAAGCTGGGACAGAATGGCCACCCATTCTCATAATTTATTGTCCCAGGGCAGGCTCCAGATCTCTGATATTCTGCATAAACCCTGCATCTTCTGCTTCACTACCCACAGCAGAGACTGTTGCATGGTGGGACACTCAGTGCCTTAGGGTTATGCTATACCCAGAAGGGCCGTGAATTCACAGAGAAGGTCATGCAGGCAGTTTTTCTTTTTTATGTGTGTATTAGTTCACAGCACTGCCAAGGTGATCACACTGCACTCTTTTCAGTTGTGGTGGTGTTATGGAGAATTGTCTTAAGCCATTTGGGACTTAGTTGGTGAGAAGCAGCATCTTTTTATTTATTGCAGGATACAGGTACCAGAGCTTGTTCGTTCTCAGGCTCTGCTCAAGAAGATGCTATCAGCCTGCCTAGATCAGTAGGGGAGGCAAGGCCTGGGAGGTTGTTTTAGCCGGTGTATTAAAGGTCTGGATGCTGTTGGACTGATGTGTGGCGCCGGCTGAACTGGAATCCCTTTTATACGTTCACATGTCTGTGAATATGCTGCAGGATAGCTGCTGTTGTTTATCCAGAGAAGCTGAAGCAGACTCTTTTACATGTAGACAGGACTCTGCCAGATCCTGCAGTAACCTTTGCAAGGGTATCAAGGACTTAGACCACGTAGATAGAGCAGATGCTGACTGTGAGGAGCATCACAGTATCTCTGGAGGTGAACAGGCTGGGTCACAGCCAGCAGCACTCTGTTTCCAGGCAGATGCTCTGAGTCTGGAGATTGGGACAGAGGTGGGTATGGCAAGCCTGGGCAGGGCATGAAGTTGCCTTGGAGATTGGGCAAGATTTTTAAACACTGATTGAAAAGAGATCCATGATGAGTCTTTTGCCATTAGCCTCTTCCAAGTCTTTCTGTCTACAACAGATCTCTACAGGAGTACATGCCAGTAACGTTACTTGTAAACTGGGCATTGGAAGTAGGGAAGAACGGGGGGAAAAGGATTCTCTTTGACCCATGACTGAGGAATGTGGAGGAATACAGGGACTCTTTGGTACTTTATAGCCTGGCAAGGGTATTATCTGAAGTGACAGGACTTCTTCTTTTCCCCCTGAGGCTCCCGCTTACATGCTGTCCATGTGTCAAGGCAATTCTCTGCAGACAGCTGGTAGAGTGCAAAGTTTAGTAGTATTGCCTGCAGATGAGTCAGCAGAAGAGAAATAGCTGGTTCCTGTAAAGTGCAATGATCTTGTAGGCAAAGCAGCGCATGACAGTCACATCTGACTGTGCCAACGCCTCCCAGGTTCGGAGGGACGATAGAGCAGCCTTGGGGCAGGCGGTGCCACCCAGGGAGCTGTGGGTGTCCCAGGGCCTCGCTGGTCCCACTGCCAGTCTTGTGCTCAGGTCCAGGGTAGGAATTGAAACAGCCTTGAACTGGAGTATTTATCAAGTTGTTGCAGTCAGCTCTTGTTTTGCACAGGCTTTCAGTTTAAGTAGCAGGATTTATTTTGCTTTGACGTATAAATCTGCATGTGAAAAGCAGAAGAAATGGCAGGAGAAATCGTGCTGCTGATGTAAGTTTTCAGATAATATTCTTCAAGAAGTCCTTTGGGACATCAGAAGGCAATGCAGATGGGCCAGGTCCTCGTGCCATCATTGTGCTCAAGGTGCAGAAAGATCTGATCTTTCTGCAGGAGTTCTCTGACACCACCAAGGCTAAAAAACATCATTGCTGTCTATGAAGATGAATTGAAATAAGGCTTTGGCTAAGCAAGAAGATTTGCCGTGCCTATTCCGACCTTTTCCACCTGCCAGAGGTATTAACTTTGATGTTGTAGTTAAATTCCAGCTCTGACGGTGGTGTAGTTAATTCACACTAAGGAAGGAGTTTTACATTTTTCCCTGGCTATATATCTTCTTCCTTGGTGGTAATCAATGCTTGTCCTTTTTCCCTCCCAGAAGCAACTGCGTTTCAGTGGGATTCAGTGATTCCCTGACAGGGAGGGTGACTCTTCTGTCTGGTAGTCGACTGCTCCTCGCAGAGCTCGTACAGGTCTCTCTCTCTCAGTGAGCCAGCTGGCAGGTGATGCAAGGCCCTTCTTTGGTATGGGATATGCACCAAAGAAATAAGTTTAAGAAGCAAAGCCGTTAGTGTTTTGTAAAGTGGTGCAAAGACTGTGTTTTGCCCCAAATGGGACACTTCCAACCTTGCTCCTTGCAAGCAGTTTCTCATATTTAGCCATGGACTCACTAATGTAGGAGGGTGACACTTTAAAATAGAACAATGTTAATATTTTACAGCAGGGCTCTTTCTTCTGGTTATGCTTGGTTTCTATCTTGGAGTGTTCAGAGTGAGCTTTGAGAGTTGTCTTGTCTTTCCTCTTCCCCATCTGCTGCAAATGTAATTAATTTTAGAACAGGCAGTGTTTTATGCATTTGGGGAAGCAAAGCTGTGTCCTCATGTGTTAAGGTCAGCTAGAGATGCTGGATCCCATTGTTTGTAATTGTTTAGGATGCTATTTTTGTCACTTGGGTCAAAATGAAACATTCTAAGATTAGCAGCTTTATCGCAGTAAGGTGTGTTGTTTTTGGAAACACGTTCCCAGTTTTTAAGGAAGACAAGTTTGGTACTGGGAGGACTTACCAGAAATGCACTAGCCACAGCATAGAGGTTTTAAAGTTCCAAAGAGTGGTAAAATTATTGTTTAATTTCTGCATTAATTTGAGTAATTAACAGAGCTGCATCACTCAGGTGCTCAGCCCAGCTCTCCAAACATTGCAGAGGCTTCTTCAGCAACACCTAACTTGTAAGATCAGAGCAGATAGAGCATGTTTATCCCATCCTTGAAGCAGGTTTCTCAGTATATCGGGTAGAGTTGCTGCTGCTTTGTGGCTGGTACTGTCTCACCACTGCTGCTTATT